CCCTGAGTCCCCCCCCCCCCCCAATGTGATACACTCTTGTTAGTAGCTCAGGCATGGCCTGCAGAGAGAAGATGGAGCAAGGAGGGGAGAGGAGGGAATGAGAAGGGGCAGGAGACTTTATAGACTCTCCTTTTGGAAAACAGATTTAGGGATAGTGCATACCACAGTTGGCAAAGTGCTTGCTTTGGAAGCTTGGGGATCCAAGTTTAGTCGCAGAAACCATGTAAAAAAACTGGGCACACCAACAAGCTCACACACAACGAAATGGACTTAGTGAAGTGCATTTTGGATCATGCAATTGATGCTGTATTGTATGGAACTCCATTAATATAAATGATGCTTTGAGAATTCTTGAGATGGTGACACATGGGTGATGCTCTCAAAACCAGTGATGAACCTGTTCTCAGTGACAGAGAGGTCTTAGCATTTAACTACAGGTTCTTACATTTAAAAGCTAATTTAAAATGTAAGTTTCTAAAAGCCACAAGATGTATTTATACACGCATATTTATGTGCCCAGACTCCCGGTCCCTCCCTTCTTCTAGCACAGTGTTTTCTCTTGGAGGTACCTCATTGCCTGGTGGGAACTGGCAGAGTCGGGCTTAGGAGTATCTGCTTCTTTCAGAACAAGCTTTCCTTCACATATTCCATTTCCCTGTGGACATTTCTCCTCAGTCAGCACTTTCCTCTCCATTAGGCAGTGTGGTTCACTGTCGGGGACCATTTGGGCACAAACCAGACCTTCTATATATAGAGTTGCTGTACACCCACCTTCCTAATTACAGAACTCGAAACAGAACGAGTGCATTGGTACCGGGTGTTTATGCCCCGCAGAATCATAATGCTGCTGCGTTCTGCAGTGGCGCCCGAGCGCTCCCTTCACCCCTCGTCCTCCATTTCTGACTTCACAGCAGCCAGAATAGAAAATCCACTTTACTCACCAGTGAGTAAATCGTGTGAAAGGATGTCTTAAAGCTCGTGCCCAACACACAGCTCACTGAGGGAACTACACTTTCAAAAGCTCTCCGAGAAAACGCTTGGAGTCTGAACTTGTACCAAATACTCTGCTTCCCCAGGTATCCTAGCTGAAGCGGGACTGACCAGGCATAGGTCACAGTTGCATGTGTGCTGTATTTAATTTCCCCCATCAAAAGAATTACCCAGTGTTGGTTCTGTAGCTCCTCGGGTCAGACAAATAGTAGGAATATCAGAACCAGAGACTCCCCAACGACTGTAGAAATCAGTTGCCTTTGCTCAGTCACAAGGAGGATGTGAATTCATTCTGATTGAATGTTGAAGCTTTGTTCCTCTGGACTGGACTGTCTGTCTATATGTTCAAGACCAGTCAGGTTGATAGAGATCAAACAATGGAGTCTTCAGACCTGCCTGGTGGCAAGATTTGGTCCTTGGGGAAACTTGGAGAGTTAATACTCTGTTTCAAATAAGTCCATCTGTCAGACTTTCAGTAGTGAGAGTTAAATGAGAATGCAGTTGCTTTAACTGTGTTTCTGTCTTTCACTCAGCTATTGGGGGGGACATAAAATGAAAGAAATACAGAAACTATAAAAATGAGTCAGAAATGTAAGATTTAAATTAAAAAGGTACCATAATATGTGGAGTGGAAAAGTAATTTCCAAAGCAGTTAAATACCAAGAACTCCATCAGGTGGCTCTGTGCCCAGCCGGGTGCTTTGTAAAGAAGGTAAGTAGAAAAATCACTTTTTCTTCCCCGCCTCTATGCACGTTGAGTCCCAAACAGCAACAGAGCACGAGCCCAATGGATGGTGATTCTCACCCCTCAAGACCAACACTCACCTTCTGCTAGGAAATCAGAGACGGCCAATATAAACCCCGTTTATTGGTTATGTTTTTAGAGCAAAATAGATTTTTAAAAGGCGAAAGTGCTTTCCTCTAACTAAAATAAATTAAATAATATTTTTAAATGTTTTAATCTGGGACCCTTGGTTTTTTCCCAAGTTTATCCCTAGACAGTGATCCATGTTCTGCCACTTTATTCCATAAACTGTGGTGTTTAGATGTCTACAATTTAGCTGAACCATTTTATTTCACTTTGAATATTGTTTGAAACAGGGTCTTTATAGCTCAAGTCAACCTTGACCTTACAACAGTTCTGCTGCCTCACCCTCTTAGGAATGTGCTAGAACTGCGGACCTTAGCCACCATGCCCAGCTAACTGAGACTAGATATGTATTTTCCTATACTAAAAGACATATGAAAGAGCATACAAGTTAAAATTCACATCATAGGGCTGGAGAAATAGCTCAGCGGGTAATAGCACTGGCCGGTCTTACAGAGGACCCAGGTTCGGTTCCCAGCACCCACATGGCAGATAACAACCATCTGTAACTCAAGTTTCAGGGGATCCAGTGTCCTCTTCTGACCTCCACGGGCATTGCATGACACAGGTGCACTTACACACATGCAGGCAATACACTCATAAGATAAAAATAATAAAATGTTTAAAATTTACATCATGCAGTGCATTATAATTCTCTCCCCTACGCTACTTATTGCCAGCTTTATTTTTTCTTTTATTTTTCTACAACGCAAACCTCCATTTAGGTTCTGGGAGCAGAACTCAGGTCCTCTGGAAGAACACCACCTCAGCCATCGCTCCAGCCCTTCATTTTTTTTCTCATCCAAAACCAAGTAAACATCAAGGTTGGAGCATTCTCAGGGAATTAGCTTCAGGTTTGAGTGACTTTTACCTAATGTACTCACTGAACTCTGTGAAATGCAGGTATGGCACTCCAAGTGAAATATGCATTTATTCCATATTTGGCAACTTTTTAAACAATGATTATTTTTTTCAGCCATTGATCTTATCAATAATTTGCTGCAAGTGAAAATGAGAAAGCGTTATAGTGTGGACAAAACCTTGAGTCACCCCTGGCTACAGGTAAAAAACTGATTTTCCTTACGTGGGTGAGCTTCAAAACGTTTATAAAATGTTGATACTAATCATAGAAATCTTTTGTCATATTCGTAAAGGTGTAATTCTCCTAATATTATTTTTTCCAAAATGCCTATGACTTTTTTAAGATTTAATAACTGTTGAGTATTTCCATTGAGTATTTCTCTGTTACCAGGAAACTTTACAAGGGGATACACATATACAGGACACATGCACATATCCTCACTTCCCCCCAAATGCCAAGAATCATAACAGAACTCAGAAGACCAGATTTGAAAAGCATTTGTATGCTTAATCCTGATGATTGTCCAAATAGATGCCCATCTGGCCATGCACTGGACTCGTTTGGAAGCTATATATTAGGTCTCAGGTTATTATGCATTGATAGAAATATACGATGAATATGAATTATATGGATGTGTGTGCTGTGTTCTCTTAAATATTTATTATTTTCACACTTGAGCTTTAAAGTTTAGGACAGTGATATTCTCAAATACTAAAAGATTATCTGTAGTCATTAAGCTGCAAAGCAATGACAACATCCTAATTCATTGATTAGAAGCATTCACTATCCATACTTAGAACCGTTATCCTGCATACAACATGCATGTGCTAAGGTTCAGTAGCTAGGATGGCCTTGAGGCTGGTACTGTTATTCGAAGATGCCTGGTGAATGGTGCGGCACTCACAGTGACAGTGGAAAGAAAGAGAGCCCCTTACAGACTGCAAGAACTGATGTGTGAAACACCATTGGGACGTGATGATCTCTGTGGTAATACTCTGAAATTTTCCTCCAGGACTATCAGACATGGTTGGATTTACGAGAACTGGAATGCAAAATCGGAGAACGCTACATCACCCATGAAAGCGATGATTCGAGGTGGGAACAGTATGCAGGCGAGCAGGGGCTGCAGTACCCCACACACCTGGTCAATCCAAGTGTTAGCCACAGCGACAGTCCGGGGGCTGAAGAAGGAGAGATGAAAGCCCTCAGTGAGCGTGTCAGCATCCTCTGAGTTCCATCCCCTCTAATCTGTCAAAACACTGTGGAATTAATAAATACATACGGTCAGGTTTAACATTTGCCTTGCAGAACTGCCATTATTTTCTGTCAGATGAGAACAGAGCTGTTAAACTGTTAGCACTGTTGATGGATCTGAGTTGCCAAGACAAATCAACAGAAGCATTTGTATTTTGTGTGACCAACTGTGTTGTATTAACAAAAGTTCCCTGAAACACTAAACTTGTTATTGTGAATGGTTCATGTTATATTTAATGCATTAAACCTGTCTCCAGTGTGCCTTTACAAATCAGTGTTTTTCTTCCCGGAGCCACATTTTGGTAAGAGACAGAAGATATCCATGAAGTTTTTTTCCGTTCGGTGTGCCCCATTGATGGCGGTGTTGTAAGCAAACTCTTGAAGAGTAGACAGTTACCAGTGTTCTGTGAACAACTCCAAACACACAGGGGAGACATGAAAGCTGCGGAGTGGGCATTTCCTAAGTGCAAATGAATGAAAAGGGCTTTGCTGTGTGGTTTCAAATCCTTTGCCTGCCCGGTGTGCCCGGTATACTTAAACTCAAGTAAGTGCATCTGCAGGTATGTGGAGCCTGCTGCACATAAGCCTAAATGCCTTAGAAATGGAAACTGCTCTGTTCCCCCTTTCTTACAGTCCCTGCTGTACTATGGAAAACCAGCCACTAAGCAAACTTTGGCCTTTTGTGTATTTTTCAATAATAAGAAATAAATATTCTTGTCAAAATGTGTTTTGATCTGATCAAGTTATTTTTATTCGTACGCCACACCAATATTTTCAGGAAGGTTAAGTGTAGAGGTAGCTCCTCAGATAGCAGTAAAAAAGGCCTCACATCTAGCATTTAGTTTGTGTGTTTCAAAGGGGAGAGATGCAGTTCTGCCCTGCATGTTACCTGGCTTCCAGTTAGAAGGGAGGCTTTCGAGAGAAAAATTATTGAAGCCAAACAGAAATAAGTAGGAAGATCACAGGTTGCTGTCTTAATGTCTAGAGTAAGACTGAGATTTATTTGAAAACTGCCTCTGGTTTCTTTTCATGGGATCGAAGCGAGATGGTTCTGCGATTGACGGCAAAGACAGAAAGACTGAAAATAATCCATAAAAAGTCCACTCAGCTCTATAAATGAGAATGGAGAAAGCTAATGATGGGCTGGAAAGACATATGCTCATGGAGTTGGGTGGTATAAGCTGTTTTCCTTCAAGCAAGGTGACAATGGTGCATTGTATAGTAGAAAAATTCATATAATTAATGCTTGTGAGTATTGTGAGGCAGTTGAGAAAATTATTATAAGACTACAGAGTAGTTCCACTTGGTGGAAACAGGCAAGATTATTTGATATTTCCAACGTTTAAATAAACAGCTCTGAATGCTTTTAAGTTCTTAAGTCTACTGCTTCGGGGGTGAGATGGGACAGGACATAGGGGTGTGTGTGTGTGTGTGTGTGTGTGTGTGTGTGTGTGCATGCATTCATGTCCCCATGGCTGCATACACACATATAGACAGGTATCAGTTGACAGAGTAACTGTTAACATGTAGGAGAAGAGGGCTGTTGCTACAATAGGCATGTGGATAACCTTTTCCATGACACGAGGTAAGTCAGCAAATTCTGGAAGGGTGAAAAGTGATGGAAGGATGCAAATCCCTTCTCAGTATGTAAATAATACAGAGTAGATGCCCTAAATCACAATGATTTACATTAAATGTTTGTCTTTTATTACCTTCAATATAACATCTTTGCAGTAACTTCTTTGTTACAAGAAATTAAGATGATTATAGCATAAGAAACTATAATAAAATGACCTTATGTCATAAAAGACCCTAGAGTTCTGTTGACTGAGAAGGGAACCTAGAAAATGACCGCAATTAGTAAAACCATGTAAGTTAACTATTAATGCAATAAATATTTACTGAATTTCTTTTTTACATAGTTATTTGCTGTATTTAAGATTTTTATATGTAGACGAGATATGATACCTCTTCAGAGAAGCTGCCTGACTATTAAATAGAAACAAAATAAATTAATGATGCTTTTTAAAAATTATAGGTAGCCGAGCTTGGTGACACACACCTCTAATCCCAGCACTGAGGAGGCAGAGGCAAGCAGACCTCTGTGAGATCCAGGCTGGCTTGGTCTACATAGAGAGTTCCAGGCCAGCTGGGGCTACAGGGAGACCCTGTCTGAAAAACAGATTGTAGGTAAAGGTTTGAGAAATGATACAGAGCCTTTAGCTTGACGGAAGGAAAGCAACGAGGTGATCTCTGAGCGGGACTTGAACAGCTAGCAGGTGTGCACTAGGCTGGCATTAGAAAACATGCTGGAGGATGGCGATGAAAGGGTTCTGCTACACACGTGCATGTGCTCTTCACAATAGGAGGGCGAGAGAGAACCGGGAGGTTCACCCAGTGCATCCAGGAGCGGCGAGGCCCGGTCCAGGGACAGAGGCCCTTCTACCGCCTTTAAAGGATTTCAGGTTTGTACTTTGTGGAGCACAGAAAACCATAACAACTCTTTAAATGAAAAAGTAAACACTATCAAGTTAATCCTGTCAGTAGCACGAGACTGAATGACAACCAAGGCAAGGTGCAAGGCCTTAAAACTAGCTAACTCGTAACAAAAGCTATGGTGAGAGCTGACCAACAACGGTAAGTAGGAAGATGGTGGGAGAGGCTCACATAAAGAGATGCTGGGAAGTGGCATCAATGGACTTTGAACTGATTGAGGGTAAAACTTAAAGAGTTCAGAATGAATCTTGGGTTGTGACTTAGATGACTGTTTGATAGTACTGTTAATCAGAAGTTGGAGACTTAGAAAGGGTGAGTTCACACTTGAATATTTGGGTCTAAATTTGTAGCACTGGGTATGTAGCTCAGTTGAAAGAGTGTTTCTTTGGCGTGTCTAAAGTCTTGAGTTTGATCGCTAGTACCACATAAAACCAAGCATGCTGACACATGTCTGTAAGCCCAGCACTGGGGTGGGGTGGGGAGTAAGGCAGGAGGATCAGAAGTTCAAGATCATCCTTGCCTACATAGCAATTTTGAGGCTGGCCTGGGTTACATGAGGCCCTAGCCCAAAAAGAAATTAATGTCCTATAGCTCAGCAAGTTTGTGATGCCATGAAGATAGTCGCATGTGAGTTTGGAGTTTGTCAGAGAATTCTAGAGTTGGAAGTGCAGATTTGCAAGCGAACAGCTCATAGAACGTCGAAAATGACTCCTTTTCGTGGAAAGAAATGGATATAAGAAATGCAATTTTAGGGCACAAATTTGAGCACTATCTATAGGGAATGATCATTCATGAGAGCAAAATTAATCATGAATTCAGAGAGAGAATCAGAGTAATAAATCAAATAGTGAAAACCAAGAGATGTAGCAATTTGAAGGATGGCTTGGGTAACAGCACAAAATGATATGGAGAGATGGGGCCTTAATGGCTGTTGTTCATCTGCAGAGCACGGTACTTTGCTCCGTCCAGTGCAGCAATGTCAAAGGACCTCTGCGGGAGAGATGGGGCCTTAATGGCTGTTGTTCATCTGCAGAGCACGGTACTTTGGTACTTTGCTCCGTCCAGTGCAGCAATGTCAAAGGACCTCTGCAGGGCAGTGGTATTGACACAGCCTGTTATGTAGCATCATTAAACAGAGAAAAGAAGAAATCAATGCCAATGTCCAGAGAAAAGCAGACCACCAAATCCATGGCACTTTGCATACCAGTGACTGACACTGCAAAGTTTCAGTTTCAGTGAATGAGCACTCACTGTTTATGCTTAAGTGTTGCCATCGACAAAATTATCCAGACTTTACACCAGCTGTGTATTAGGAAATCATTACAAGCAGGTATGTGTTTAACACCAGCAGCCAACAAGCACTTTCATACTAAGAAGTATCTTCTATGATTCTGTCAAAAAATACAGAAGGATGTGCCGTGAGGCCCCTCACGGGCAATAGTCTTAACAACATCGTTGGTACACTTGAGATGTCAGAAGAATTGCTGTTCTGTGTGCCCTGGTCCACAAGAGCAGCCCACCTCTGTTTGCCTGAGCAGGAGGAAAGTGTGACGAGAAAACATTTGATCAGTGCTGCTTTTGTTAGGTCCATTTTCCCCAAGAAAGATCTATTCTCTAAGTTCAGCGGACACCCACTCTGCTGCAGATATTTTGAGAAACACATGATCATCCATGTATTAAAATGTGTGGAATAAGTACAGTCACTTAAGAGAGCAAGCCGGGCATGGTGGGCACGCCTTTAGTCCCAGCACTTGGGAGGCAGAAGCAGGCGGATCTCTGTGAGTTGGAGGCCAGCCTGGTCTAAAGAGCAAGTTCCAGGCCAGCAGGGGTTGCAGGGAGACCCTGTCTCAAAAAGACCAAAAAAATAGAAGAAAGAAGAAAGAAAGAGAAAGAAAGAAAGAAAGAAAGAAAGAAAGGAAGGAAGGAAGGAAAGAAAGAAAGAGAAAGAGAAAGAAAGAAAGAAAGAAAGAAAGAAAGAAAGAAAGAAAGAAAGAAAGAAAGAAAGAAAAAGAAAGGGAGAGAGGGAGAAGTTGATTCGGGGAGTGAGGGATGACCACAGGACATCCAGCTATACCATACAGGAGAAATGGCTGGGCAGAGCTGCACATCTTGATCAAAATCACAGAACTCTTTAGGGAAAGTGTGGGGGAGAAGTGGTGCCTAGTCTCTTGCCTCCCAGGCTGGTGATTTATTTGTTTTTCTATCACAGCTTGTCATAGGACTTGAGGGAATCAAACACCTTTTTCAATATTTTTTCTTCTCTCTCAATTTGTGTTTATGCACAAATGATATTATAACATGCTGCTTTACTGTATTATGTGGGTTGAGTTCAGGCAGTTAATTATTTTCTTCAGATAGTTTGACTTTCTGTGTGTGGGGCCTCATATTGGGCCAAGGAATGGGACCGCAGATGCATAAGGACCTTCTCCAGTATCTTCTGGAGCTGCACGCAGCTTTGCACATGCATGTGGCCTTTCTGCCACTGAGGATCATGGAACTTTCCCACCGCAACAGTCAGCTTGGCCACCACAGAGATTGGCCCCAATGACAGGCAGCGCTGAGCTCCTCCTCAAGGGCCGAGGTCTGCCGGTCCGCGTCTCCCTATTCTACAAACTTTCCAAGGAGCCAAGGGTAGCAAGAGTGAGACGCGGACTCCACCTTGAGGCCAGCCTGGTCTAGATAGGAAGTTCCAGGGAGAGTGAAAAGAGAGAGGAGAGAGGGAACTTGATACATTTGTGACATTTCTAGAAGGCCTCTAAAGTAAAGATAGAGTTAGGCACATTTTGACCTAAAAAGGCAGGATAGAAGTATCTCGGGAGGGAATTGTGAGTTCTTCAGGGCCCCAAAGTGTGGAATGGGTGTGAAGTATAACCTACAGTAGACCATCTCTAAGGAACTGACGTTCTCTAAAGGATCAAGGGGAAGATCATTTGGAGAAGGGGAGCAGCAGGCAACTTTACTACTTTTAAAGTTAGAGACCCGATATTTAAATCACAGCACTATTCTGCTTATTGGTTTGCGATTAGTGCCGTTGCTTCTAAAACGATGGCTCTCCCTTGCTCGGCATCTCTCCGACGGAGCACCCTCTGGTAGCTCACAGGCATCTCCTAGCAGGAAGATTCTCGGTCACAGATTCTTTTCCAGCATTGATATGCTGTTCAATGTTTCTTACAAAGGAAACGTAGCAGGCTCCCAGGAACTCGTCTGGGCCTCTTGTCGTCTTCTGA